CCCAGCAGACTGCCGGGTGGAGTCCTGCTGAGAGATGCCTGCGTCGTCGCGAACAGCCGAGCAGCGTGTGGCCCAGGCCGGAGCTTCCCACGGACGACTGCGCTGCTCGTGCCCAAGGGCAGTCAGGCACTTGCAGTCATGTCCGGTGGTACGGAGTGCACGCCCTGAGGCTTACTATGTACATATGATGAAGCGCCTGGCCCTGCGTGTGGATGCACAGCGCCGTCCTTGGCATTCGGGATTGGTCGAAAGCAAACTCCCCTCTTTCGTGGCCCCAGCCGAGGACGGCGGAGTCGCTGCTGATGCAGGTCACGCGCTCGGGAGCCCGTTGCGCGAGTGATGCGAATGGAAGTTTCGCTGAAGTCCCGGGTGAGCGAGGCCCCAAAGGACCCAGAGAAGGAGACCCGGGCAAACAAGGCCATGGGCCATCGCTCCGACTGGTGGCTCTCCCCTCCGCCTCAAATAACAGCTCTCCATCTTCAAAGCCAGGCAGTGAAGTCCGTGCGGCGGCGCAAGCGACGCCCATTTGAGGCACGGGCCCGGACTCGCCTTTGCTCGCGCACCACTCGCTGGCACTGCATTCGCTGATATTCGCTGCGCAGATCTGCCTGCCTCTCATGGACGAGGCTACGCAAGGCGCGGCCGGCTGTCTGCAGTGGGCCTCCAGAAATTACTGCAGGCCGCGAGGCTGGTGCTCCACACGGAGGAGCTGGCTCGTACGGGTGCGAGAGTCACCTGCTTGAGCCGCGGGGCAGCAAGAGCTTGCACCATCACTGCAGATGTCGCAAGTCTGTGCAACTCGCAAGCTTTGGCCAGGCCTGTTGAAGATCGACAACCTCCGCGCCCAACCCTCAGTTCTTTTGAGGGGGTCTGGCCACGCAGAGGCTTCTCTGACCCAGAGGTAAGAGAAGCAGCCATGGAGGCGCCCCTCCGGAGACGACTTTCAGATACTTAATTTGGTCAATTTGGTCATAGCTTTTTATCATGCTGGCTACCTTCGTTACTTCCGTTCCTGCCGGAGGCCTTCAACGGAGAGATGCTGCCCTGCCTGGTGGACGGCCTGCAGTCCGCTTGGGTGGCCTGGCTTGACATCCTGACGGCATCCTCGCATGATATGACTCCGCACCATCATGCGAAGCCCTGCGTAAACCTCTTAGCAGTCTTAGCAAAGCCATGCAAAGCCTTTCTCATGACATGCTTTCATGGGGTGACGGCACCTCCTGTTCAAGACGAGAGTGAGCCGTAGCAGCCCTAGCATTGTTGTCTGGAAAGGGCTGCTCCCAGGCAGCAGTGGCCGCAGCCGTGCGCGGCAAAAACGCCTCAGCCCTCCGGTCTGCGTTGACCAAGGAGGAGGAGCCCTGCGTGGGCAGAAGCATGGGAAGCCTCAAGATGGAGATCCCTCCCAAACCCTGCTGAGCTCGGCCGCAGGACATCTTGGACTTCGTGGCTGAGCTCCTTAAGCTGGGGCTGCCCTGGGTGAACCAGGCACATCTGCACACTGCGGTCTATGGGCTTGTGCTGGTGTAGGTGCGGAGTCGCAAGCTGTATAGGCTGTGGCGGACTGCTTCGTGACTGGGCTGATGCTGCCCCAGCTCTTCGTGCTAGCGCGACCTACCCGCTTCAACCAACACCATGGTCTCTGCCTGTTTGCACCTGTCCGCGCATGCCAGGCAGAGCGACACCGTGGCGAGCTCGCCGCCAGGGAGCTCCAGGCCGCCTTGTGCTTTCGGCCTCGCACCTTCTAATGGCGCACTCGTGCTGCTAGTACCGCCAGGCCGTGACGCGCTACGACTTCGGCCCAGACGAGCGGCGGCCTCGGGCAGCAGAGGGATGCATCTCCGGCCTGTCGCAAAGACATTCAGCAAAGGCCGCCGCCCGTCCTCCCCTCACCCTCCATGTGGAGCGTCTTCCAGGACAGCGCCGAGCAGTGCTGTGGTGGTTGTGGCAGGCGGCAGGGTTACGCCAAGCTCGGGAGGACGTGATCTCTCCGAGGGTGTTCATGCCATCGCCGACCGCTGCCCGTGCCCAGGGAGAGGCGGGGCGGAGTCATGCAACGTCAGCGCTGAAAGATGTTGCCAGGGGAGTGGCGGAAGGGTACCATTCTGAGGCCGAGGTATTTCCGGAAGAGTTAGATGCCGCGCTGGCGGTCCGCCAGAGACCCGGATCTGTTGGGAAGCTGCAGCGGAAGAAAAAATTCGCATAAGCCAGGTTGCATGGCCGCCTTCCTGGAGCGGATGAGGGAGGAGAGTGTGGCTGGCATCATGGTGCCCATCATCCAGCTTCTGCTTTGGTCTGCCCGGTGCTCAGAAGCCCCACAGCTCCGCAGGCTCTGCAAGACGAGTGCAAGATCTGTGTGACTGTATGATTGACTGACTGCAACTCTGAAAACCTTTGCCCAAGGCAGTCCCCGACCTGGGTGCAGAGGCCTCGGGAAGAGAGGGAGAAGGGAAGGGAAAAAAGGACTTCGGACGTCGCCTTGCATCCAGGCGCTTGACAGCCTGGCCAAGCTGAGTGCAGCGCATGCGCTCGAGGAGCCTCTTGCAAACTCTCCAGCACTTCAAGTTGATTGCTTTTGCAGAAACACCTCTAGCTATGCCTATCTATGCTCAAGCTCGGTTGCAGGACCTGGCCATGGCAGAGGCGGGGTCTGTAGGGCTAAGTGGTATCAAAGATGAAGCTTTCAGCGCAAACGCCTCGGGTGCGGGCTGCGGTATTTTCCCCCTCTTCCGCCTTGGGCTGCATGTTGTGAGAGCCCGCGCGCGAGCCGCAGAGGATTAAGCAGTTCCCTCAGTGCTGCATGCTGAGCAGGCTGTGCCTCTCGAAAGGCCGGCGTGCCAGAGAACCTGCTAGTTTCCCAGAAGGTGCGCTGCAGCCGCTCTTGAATCGCGGTCCTGCAGGCAACTTGCCTGGCGCCAAATGCTGGAGACGCTTCCGGGCCAGGCGCAGCCGGAGCACTGTGACGTGCTGCAAACCCTCGCCTTGCGATGCCTTGCATGCGGAGCAGACTGTTCCTGTTAGGCTTACATGCCGAACCCCTTCAGGCCAGCAGTCCTCGTGCAGACCTCGGGCTTTAAAAGAGCTGCTTCGCGCGAGAGGCCGTTTTGCCTCGCATGTGCACATGCGTTCTCTGCTTGGGCAAGATGAGGCCATGCTCGATGTTCACATCTCCGCCATCGGAGCCGTGGCCGCCAATTTGTGCTGGGGATACTGGTAGCTGCAAGGGGTCGCGTCACCGGGCTCGCCTCAGGAGACGGGCCCCGTCCGCAGCACCAAGATCTGTGCACGGAGGATGAGAGGCCGCGAAAATCAATTCCAGAAAAGGTTAATCTTCTGAAAGAAGTCCTCCTCGCTGTTGCAGTGCGTTGTCGGCCGACATGGCCACCTGGATGCTGCGAGAGTGCCGGGCCGGATGCTTAGAGAGCTGCGACCTGCGACGTGTGCCTTCAGAGCCTCGCGGATGCCTTCGATGCCTTCATGCGAGGCATCCCTGTACCCGGAGCTTTTTCAAGATGCAGGGCTCTTGCCGAGAGAGGCACGCATGGCGCCGGCAGCAGAGCACAATGGAGCACGGCTCAGCACAAAGTCCGGTCCGGTGTCGCATCCGATTGCTGCAGGCCCCTGCACGCTCGGTGAAGAAGGTAGTCGAGGCGCCCCGAGCCCTCAAATGCTCTCACTTGAGATGCACGGTGCAAGAGCTGAGGCTAGGTGACTTTGGTGTGCTGCTTGCAAGGATGTGCAATGACACAGCAGAGTACCGGAGCATCGAGCAACGAGATGTTAGTTTCTCATCGTCGAAACTGGGGCAAATGCTGGTGCCAGGTTCCGAGCCAGATGCTATCTGCAAAGGAAGGCGCCCACAAGCTGCGATGAGAACTGCGCGATCAAAAGGGACAGCTGTACTGAACTGTGGATCTGCAGAAGCGTGGGCCTATATGGGCCTACATACTCCCTCCGCACGATATCCCCAAACCTTGCACTTGTAACCGACACACTTCAGGTAGCTGATTCGTCGTTTGGATTCCAGAGCCCCAACTGTCGTTCTTCTTTAGCAGGTGGCACCGACGCTTCCGTCTTCGACCGCTTGAGCCAGTTCTTGCAAAGTGCGCGCTGCATGTAGTGCGGACCTCACAGAACTGTCAAGCAAGCGTCGTTGCCCTTGCAGAGACCTTCCTGAGGCAAGAATCTTGTGGACAAATTGCTTCCTCGCCTGCCCCCCACGCTGGACTTCCATCCACATGGCTGCGCTGAAAAGTCGAGCTTGCTTGCATTCAAGGTAAGTCGCTGGTTCAGCTCATCAGCTTTGTTTTGGTGCGGTTTTTGGGACATAGCGGACCCGTACGAACGCGCAGTTTGCTGTGAAGGTTGCCGGGTTCTACTCGTATTGATTTTGGTCACGCAGCAAGTGCACAGGAACGTACGCATCCTGATTGTAGACAATTTGCTGTGCTACAGACGTGCAGAGTGGGAGCGAAGCGCTTGTCTCCAGCAAGCCAGCCACTCGCATACACCTGCAAAGAAGAACCTTGCCACATTGACGCGGGGCACGACCATCCCTGAGCTGAAGACCCCAAAGGAAGCTTTCAGCTGCTCCCTGCGCGAGGCCACTGGAACATCCTTCCTTTTTTTTGGCATGGTGCCACTTCTTGGTCAGGGCCTCGATGTTGTTTCCCTTATTCACAGCTGCGATCAATGTCTCAACGTGACTCAACGTGACCAGTATTGCCTTGCCTATACCCAGGCCTGGCGGTGTCCACGCTCTTGCGGAGATGCGTGGGTCCAGAGTAGCGGGCCCATTAAGAGATTCAGAATCTGATCTTTCTCCAGCTTGAGATATGGGCAAGCGGCTGCCAGGTGGTACAGGCCGCAGTTTTCAACAGCAATGTCGCTCGCCTTGAGTGCTGCGGCCCGAGCTTTTCTATAGCAATGTTGCGAAGTACCGATCATCATCAAGTGTGTTATGGGTGCCTGTTTCTCGGCTCAACAGGAGGACTCCTCCTTTTCAAGCAGGTCTTCACTGCGACCTTTGGCCTTTATGGTCACTGCTATGCCCTAATACAGATACCAAGAATACGTATGCTTTTGAGTGGTACCGCTCCTCTAATTGCAAGCTGAAGGATCTCGTAACCTGAAAGGCCAAGGAGTTGCAGTTTTAGTCATGGCGGTAATGATCCCCCTTCTCAACCTCCTCAGCTTTGGCCTCGTGCCTGGAGGAGGCTCCAGCTGCTGTTTCCATTTGTTCAATGAGCCTTGCATTAGGAAGGCCGAAGCATGAATGGACATCATGTTGTCTAGTCAAAAGACTTCGGCAACTAAAGCCTCGATGTGCTGCTTTAGAGCTTCCATCTTTGCCGCAGATGCTGTGGGCATCAGTCAACTCGCCGTCCACGCATCTGGAGAAATCCAGGCCAGAATGAGCGGTGGGGATGGGCAGCCGCTGCTTGCAAAGGGATGGAGGTGTTTGATGTGTTCTTCATGCCAGTGTCCCTGCGCGCAGCATTGGCCCTCACTAGTTACAAGGCAGTAGCTTTGGAGCACTGCGGGTGCAATCCATGTAACTGCACGTCTCACAGGTTTTGACAACTTCAAGGTATGGCTCTACATCCTCCGCTGCCAGCGCAGCCCCTTCCAACATCTTTAACTTTCAGCGTTCTAGCTGCCCAAGGATGGACAGGAATAAGGAATGTTCCCATGGATCAGAAGCTGTGTCACTTGCTGGTGCAAGACGTTGGTGCGAGGCCCTCAACATCATGCGCAGACAGGCCGGTGGAGATCAACGCTGCACGGCTTTGCTGGCTTTTGAGAAGATTCCGCGCGAGTCAGAGTACACAATCCAAGATAGACCCCACAGTATCATGCCGCGATGAGAGCTATATGAGTTGCCACTCTCTTGAAGTGAACTCCCCCCAACAGAATAATTCTGGCTGGCCAAATAGCACCAGCATGGTTCTGGTTCAGTGCTGACAAGCTACGGCTATTGTCATCATACTCATGATAGTGATGGTCACGATCTCGATCATACAAACATGATGCCAAACACTGTTGGGTTGTCGCTTGGCTGGGAGGCTCCGCTGGTCTCGCAGCTTCCAAGCACAGCGGTGGACTGCCGAATGCTGAACTTCAGCCGCGTGGAGCACGTGTGCCCATCGGAAATGACAGGTGCATCCTGCGCACTCTCTCTCACCCACTCTCTCTCCCTCTCCCTCTTGCGACGGTTGTCATGGTGGGGGTGCCTCACAGCGCATCAATTACCGTACTGGCAACAAACATCTGGCATCATTTTCTACTGAAAGGGCGCAGCTTGGCTCTCATCCGGCTTGCAGTCTATTAACAGACTCTGATAGCAAGCAAAGTGAGCCGGACCTTGTAAAAGCCTGCTTCATCTAATCAGATTTCTTTAGTTAAGGTTGTTTTTGCTGCAGGTGAGGAGTTCTGCAAGACAAGGATGTTCATGGACGTTCACGGAAACTTGCGGCGCCTGGGCGGCTCATAGATGTAAATCTTAGGAACAGCGCTGTTTGTGTTCAACCTGCTTGCAGAACAGTTTAATAAAATAATTTTACCACGTGAGCAGAGCGCGACAGAGCCGTTTACGCGGTAAGTCAGCAATTTGCCTGAGGCCCTGCAATTGGTTCACCATCGGCCCCAAGAATCCCCCGAACTGCGACTGGGATGGCAAGCTGACCTGCGACGAAGAGTCCACTGAAGCGATCAAGCAAACAAGGCACGTGTCTGTCACGACAGCAGGAGAGGGGTGCTGGACCTCAAGCAACACAGGATCTGCTGAACGTATGCCTAGATTGATGATTCGGACATAAGCAAATTCCGGAATACTAAATCTATTTATAGAGTTTCTTAAGGCCGCAGGTTCGATTAATTGCTGAAAGATTAGACAAGATGAAGATATTCCAGAAAATTCTTTTTAATGTTGATACATCCGCATCTGGCCTTGCGCCTGGCAGGCGAGCGCAGCTGGCAGCCAGGGGAGCGAGGATGGACGAATGAGGGGAGAAAAGATGTCAGCTCTTCTTGCGTGAGCTGCAGAAGGTGCTTGGTGTGTTGAAAATTCGCACATAGCCCGCAAGAAAGTACAGCTCCAGCACTTGGCCCTCACTGGACATTCCAACATTTGGCGAGTGCCACAAACTGTCTGAGGCTGCGGCACTGTTGACTCTTGGAGCCTTTGTCAGCCGAGTTGTAGGAAGTCTGGTTCCAAGCTTTGCGTCTCGATGATCATATCAGGTAGTTCTAGCCTTTGCCTCTCGCATTCCTGCATATCACAGAGTATTGAGGTCGGACCCCCGTCATAAGCGGCATGATGATCATGGCGAACGGTCAGGTTCTTACTAGCAAATCCTCTGGAGATGAAGAGTTTAAAGCTAGAAGCATGTACTTTGCTACAGACGGGATGCTTAAGGTTTCGCAGCTTCCATCATGGCTTTTGCTGTGAGTCCGTGGCTAAGTTCTAGGAGCCTTCACAGATGCTCCGCGCGCAAGATGCTTGATGAAATCAAGAGTTGCAAGATGATCCTAAGGTCAGATGCTTGTTTCTGCAGGTTCCGAGGCCCTGCAGTCCTGATGGGAGCAGCGACTTGTTCTGTTCTTCAGACAGCAGCACTCTGACAGTAGCTGTCTTCTGTATCTCGAGAAAGCTTACTCTTTCACCTACTGCCATTAGCCTCTCAGTATGTAGAGCAATGGTAAATGTTTAGATCAGAAAGAAGAACTTCATCATGAACCCGTTCATGAGTACTGCCGACGCGTGGAGTTTTCCCAAATCTGCGATATGGTCTCCCTCGCCTGCGGAAAATCGATAGTCCTGAAATTGTACCCCTTGTTTCAGCAAAGTGTCTGTGCAGGAGACCTCGGTAAGCGCCGACAAAGGTCGCCACTCGAACCCTGCAGTCTGGCCCTTTGCCTGCTGCAACGACATTATTTACCAACAATACCAATACACAACAATACCAGCCATTTGATGAGGCAACATCCTTACCACAGGAAGCTGGAAGGCATGAAGCTGCTTCGACTTGCTGCGTACGGTACGATATGTGTACTTCAGGTATTGCTTGGACCGTACCGGCAGCGCAGGCGCTTGTTCTTACAACTTTTTTGCTGCTATCATTGCTGTTTACAATTCTTTCGCCATTTTGCAGGCCCTCTGCCTGGCCACAGGCCATCGGAGACGCAGGCCGTTGTGAGAGAGAATGTTCACCCAATTACACACAAAAACCTGTTGGACAGACTTTCGACCAACTGGGAAGAGGGGGTAAATTGAGTTCCTTCGAGCCCCTTCAGGAAGAAACTAGAGAAAAAGTAGTGGATTACCCCAGCCGGAGCCGGGGGGCCCATAGATCAAACCAGCCTCAGCAGATTCTGGACTTAGAAAGACTTGGAAGGCGTGGCCAACTTTCAGACATCAATTTGTGCATTGCAGCTGCATGCTCTGGGCTGGGCTCTCAAATTTCTGTAACTCGAAGCAGACCGGGAGCTTGAAACATCCTCAGGTCGCAGTGTGCTCCGCGATTGTGGCCTGGCAAGCTATCACAAGGGCAGCGAAAGCATACGAGCGCAAGGATCCCAGACCAGAAGCGCCTTCACCGGCTCCATGCCCCCAAAAATGGATGGTTGGTTTCAAAAGTTGTTGCCTCCTTAGCTGCTCTCAACAGCTTCGTGTACTTTGGGATTGTGCTCAGGCATGCACTGGGAAGTGTTGCGGGTCTTTGCCTACGGCTTGATTTGCCCCCAGCTGTGGCACACGAGCAGCGGAGTATGCAGGCATTCTTGCAAAAACCATGCTCTCTAGGCTGACGTGCCTGACAACGGGACTGGGGGCTGCGCCATTTCTCATTGTGCCAGCCTTGGTCTTGTGAGACCTTCATCGACAGTCCGCTTCTGCTTGCTTTCCAAGAGGTGCGCCCCGCCCAAATTGGCAGTGGCTTGGCTGTGGCCAATGCATAGGCCCCAGGACGAGTGGGGTCATGAAGCAAATAAGCAAAGGGTCGCGAGGCGAGGTGCAGTACGAAGAGTTGTTCAGGCTGTGGCGGCCGGCATGATGCTTGCAGCATCTGCCGGAATGCTCTTTGAGGCGGGTTACCCCTGCCGAGCTGCCACGAAGTTGTTTCCTTGTTGGGTGAGCAGCGAGGCACACGAGCATTGCGGTTATCTGGACTGGCAAATCTTCGCTGGGCTGCTGGCCAGGGCCCCAGCCTAGGCGCTGAGGGTCTCTGAGGGTCGAGGTGAAGGAACATCGCAGTGACTCGCAGTGTGCTGCCAAGGCCGGCGGGTTGTTCATCCGGGCCAGTGAAGGCCTGCACGGTGACGAGGAGGAAGAGGCCTCCTCGAAATAACTTTCCGGGCTCGTAGGGCCAACTGATCAACATTCGCCCAGGAGTCAGAGATTGCGGCGCTGCACGACGCGCTGATTGAGAGGACGGCATCTGCCAAACATGCCCAGAGCCGGGCATGGGAGGATTCAAAGCTGTCCAGGAAGCAGTGGCGGAAGGCAATGCTCATCTTTACAGTGATGCTTGCGGCACAGAGCCTGCTGAATTATCCATGCATCCTGCAGCTCCGGACAGCCACGAGTCAGGTTCTGCCATTCCGCGGCGGAAGGCATCGCAGTCGGCGTGGCTTTCAGCAGGCTGCGCAGATTGCCCAACTGTGCCAAAGCGTCGTCAAGATGCGGCAGGCGACTGAACCAGGAGTTTGGGGTCTACATCTCCTTGCTCCTTGCGGTCCCTACCTTGTCTACGGGGATACGATAGTCCAAGTATGATTATATTCCCACGAACACACCTCATGTCTGTCAACACCAGAAACTTTTCATGACGGGCTTGGGCAGCGATATGAAAGATGGAGCCTTGGCAAGATGATATGATAGACCATAATATACTACTGTATATTCTTATGCTATAAAATACTATAATATGTTATAATTTTCTCATCTTGCGATGAGGTGCACAACGTCCCAGAGGGTCTGGCGGTGGCGCTGGTCCTGGTCCCGCGTCGCCCTGGCGCAGCAAGATGAGAAAACTAAGATTGTAATAATCCTTATCTAGTATACTGTAGCAATTTCTGGGATAAGTATTTAGTACAATTTAGTACAAGATAGTATAATGCAGCACAATATGGTACATTATAATGAGACTAGGAACAGGCCCCTGTGCGAATCGCGGTCTGCGTGGCAGGCGGGGTCTCCGCCACCCTAACGGCCCTGATTGCCATCTTGACAAGCGTTCCGCAGCCCCCGCTGGCGCAGTCCTGAAAGAGCAGGTGCATCTAATGCATGCCCTCTCACTGCAGCTGGCCAAGGCGCTAGCGGCGTTCCTCTTCGTGGAAGCTGCCCCCTGAGCTGGTGAGCGCTTGGCGCCATCAAGCAGAACTGCGTCCAGCTAAAGAGCTCCACCCCAGTCACGCTGAGGTTTTTGAATGGCTCTTGCCACTGGGCCTGGCCTTCGCTGCAGGCCAGCCTCAGAATTTCGCCTGAAAATGCTCAGCTTTGCTTAGCTGCAGGTGCCATGGTCTATGTTTGCCTTCACGAGCTTTTGGTGGAGTCGGTGGAGCAGTTGGGAGTGACCAAAGCCACTCTTGTGTGGGGCTCGGGCAAAACCCGTCAAGCCACTGCCCGCTTCAAAGCATTGCTATCATGTAGATGTAGCTCTGATTGACGCGAGCTTGATCCTGAGGCCTCTTCGCTGTCCTTTATCACGATGGCCGGGTGCATCTACATGTTGCAGCCACTTAGTTTCAACCATGGCTCGGTTCGGGGAGCCCCTTCGCGTCAGCAAGTCCACATGCCATACGGAACTCGAATGCTCAGGTTCATTACCGGCATCTGAATCTAAGTTCTCCAGGTTGAATTCGATGCGACAGGACAACCTGTTAGCAGACAGCGGTAAAGCATCATGGCAGCCAAGAAGCCCAAGCAGGAGATGCCCCGAAGTGCGCATGGCGTCCGACTGACGGCGTAAGCTGCCGAGCATCCCTGCATGCAGGTTGCCAAGAGGGCGAAGTTAACGTCTGGCCGAGTATCGGCAACGTGCTGCACGCTGTTTTAAACGCGTTTGGGGCATGCTATCTCCCTGGAATACCCTGGAAGAGCTCTTTCAACAGATCATGCGGCGGCCGGAAAGATTCTTGCAGGGCTCCAAAGGGGCAAATTCCGCAGCAAAAGTTGGCGATTGGCCATCTGCAGCCCTCGCCCCGATGCCGTGAATGCAACGCTGCAATTGGGCAGAGAGCTGCTGTTGTACAGTTCAACTTAGAGATAGCTTAGTTAGTCCCAGCGATGGTTCCCTTGGTGCACCGACTCAAAAAAACTGCCGTAGCCTGTGGCCGCCGTGTTCCACTGAGGCTCATGCTTCAAGCACCACCAAGTAGCCAAGTCTCTAGGCAGGACAGCTTGCTTGCTCAAGCCAATCCTTGGACGTCATTCTGCGAGACAGCTTCATTGATAGATTAACTCCAACAGTTGAAAAGGATGAGCAAGATTAGCAAGCCAGAGAGCGTACAATTACGATGTCAACATTTCATTGCACTTACGAGTAGGCGAACCGGGTACAGTGCTTGGTCAGGTTTGTGGTGGGTACAGTGGGTTTGGGGCTGAATTCTGCTGGCTTAGGAACGCCGTGGTCGTGGGTCAGTGAGCATGAGCATGGGCAAGAAGCAATCATGAGGACACGCCAGTAGGCAACTTGTCTAGCAAGTTCGCTGATGCTGGCCCGACGCTGACTTGAAGCTATTCCTCTGGCCTGACGCCCTCGGCTGCAGGCGCCTGCACACGGTCTCTTGTTTTATGCTTTCGCATGACTTGGTGCAAGATGTGTGCATGCTGTGCATGAAGCTGATGGCGTTTTCATGCTCGGAATCCATGTACATTCTTCATTTTGGTCCAAGCTGACTTTAGTTCTAGCTTGTCCGGGATATCTGGCGTCATGCTTGCGGACGAAGATGACCTGCCCAGCTCGGCAAAAGCTTGCACGGGCCTGAAGTTCCATGTTGGCCATGGACCAGTCGTAGCACTTGAAGATGGCACTTGTGCCAGGTGTACTACTATCAGCGTCAGTCCTTATAGTACCAGAAGCATCAGCAGAACTAGTATTTGCAGGGGCAATCGTCACAGTGACAGAAGTACAGTTGCAGATAGAACGTCCCCTACACACAGAATGTTAGCAGCAATCGGCTTACAAAATCTTACAAACGACCAGAAAGGCCTCCGTAAACATGGCATCAACAGCCTGTTATGGTGGTAGGATAGCAAATGCTCTCGGTGTCAGCAACGCGAGCATGCACGGAAACTTACAGCCACAACTGTCATAAACATGCTGTAATGCAGTGCCACACGTTGCCAGAAACTGAAACTGCTTCCAATGCAAAAACAAGCAACCGGGAGTAGCAAGTCATCCTCAACAGAAGTGGTCCACTGGCTTGTCGGTGCCATGCATTAGCAACCTTCCCTTCGCACTTCCTGGGACGTTTTTCTCAGCTACATGGTCGTGTAGCAGTGGCGATCAAAAATCGGCTGACACCCAGGCAGATGCCCTCGTCATGAGGAAGACGAGGCCGAGACCGAGACCTGTGCCAGGAGCAACACAGCCAACTCGCTCTCACTTCAGAGATGGAATGCCTCCTTGTGAGGAGCCTGCGCAGGCGTGGCTCTGACAGTACGGCTGGCAGCTGGGATGTGGCTCGGCACGTTTTGAAGAGCTTCTGTTCCCGGCTGGGCTCTGAACTGCTAAAGCTGGTTGATTAAGGACTCCCCTACTGGGACGGCTCACAGCGACGGCATCGAGACAGGACCTGGACTCAGCGCTTTGAGCCAGGTCTCAGCCTCCGACGAAGGCCCTTCCAATTTTCAGCACGATAAAGCAGGCGGTCAAGTAGATCCCTCTGCATTTGCATGGCCATATCGTGGCAGGAGACGAGGAAGAGGTGCCAATTGATGTTCATGCCCTTTCGGGCGCTCATCTGGGGCACGTCAGCATGCTTCCCCGGGCCTCGCTTGGAGAAGCCCAGCATCATCAGCAGAGTTTCATGTTTTCAAGGGGTACTGCCCGGGATGGGCTACTGCTTATAGGAGCTCGAGACATCTTTGCTGCAGGCATTGAAAGAGCGCATCTGCGACCTCACAGGCAAGTCGGGCAAGTCCCTGGAGCTTGCGCTCGGGCTCCTTGCCTGTAGGATAGCGGTGCCAGCGCTTCCAGCGCTTCCGTAGTGCTGCCCATCTAAACTTGGTGTTTCAGCCAAGGTTGTCGATCCTGAAGGATGCTTGCTATTTCTTAGCGCCCTCGCACCACCCTGTAGCATCTATGGCATACTGGAGCCGCTCTACAACTCAACCACTACTGGGGTGTTGCCGGGCAGTGCTAGCGATTCGCTCTTTCAGGATTCTGACGACATGACCATCGCCAGCAGTGGGATCCTGGAGACCCTGCATGTCCAGGCGATTACCATCTCTTTGCACAGACCCTCGCCATCATTAAGTCAACCAAGGCCTCAAAACGTTTTATTAGCCTGCTGGCAAATTCCTGTTCGTGGAATTCCTGGCTGAGTTCAGCGTTTGGAAAAGCCCGCAGCTTCTAAGTAGCCAACCTCAACCCCAGCATCGCAGCCTTACTCCAAGTTGAGCCTAGGGTTTGTCTACTCCGATGACGGGCGAAGTGCGGGAATTTACCTGCTGGATGACGGAACCGCTGAAATCTTCACGTCGCCGGCCTATGGAAAAGTGCTTCACCAATGAGCCAGACATGAGTTCTGAACAGTTTGGATTTGCCATGGGATCCCAGATGATAGGCCACGAGTACTGCCGGCCTGCATCAGCGCAGTTGAGGCTAAGCAGACGAGTGCTGAATGCGCGTGAAGATGAAGAGCAGACACAAACTATGCACTGGGGCACCTGGTCGTCAGGACCGTAGTGCTACCAGGTATTGACCCTGCCTTGAAATCTGCCCAAGTTGATAAACCATAGTGGCAGGACCCTCGGAATCCATCTGCATAGACGTCACTCAAATGGAGAGGAAGGCGCGGGTCGAATAAGTCACCCAGCTGAGCTGTCAAGCCCTTGGCTACCAGGCGATAGGACAAGGAGTGATTGCTGCAGACTGTTGTGCATTGGAGATGTCAAGCAGACCTTCCAAACGCGCATCGTGCTTTGGTATAGGTGTACAGCGATATCATGTCCTGCGGCTGGACCCACCAGTCAGGCAGGATTCAGGCAGATTTCAAAATGCGGTCTCAGCCTCATTGAGAAGTGTACGTGCATTCAGAGCATGTGGGAACCTCCCTCCTACCTTGGTGACTGAAACTTGTGGTGGAGCGGTGCTCTGCTACGTGCTGACAAGGTTTCGATGGACCGAACATGCTTTGCAGCACTTTGTCTGCACCACTCAGATCATGTGATTTCATGTGGCAGCGTTTGGGTGCTCTGCTCATGGGATGCTGTCGCTTCGCTACAGCTCAAGGAGATTGGATCAGATAGCAGAACCCGGAGCCCTGACTGCACTTGGCCGTTCAAGCTGAAAGCAAAGTCCACAGAATTTGCCATCACCACGAGCATCCATGAGCTGTTGGCAGCATTCTCAAGTGGCTGGAAGCAAGAGAGTCCACTGCAACTAAGTTGCAGCGTTTGTGTTCCCGAGCGTTCTCTACAACCTGAACGGAGGCGAAGCGCACGCCGCCCGGTCCTGCAATTAGATCGGCGCGTTCACTACGATTCATAGGCAAGGCCTAGAACAGAGCTTCCCAACATAGAGGACCCCAATCTAGACCCCACAATGCGATCGTCCTTATCATAGGGACCCACAGAAAAGTACCCCTATTCTTGGAAACCCCAATCCCTGAACCCTAAACCCTAAATCAGCGTTATGTGTCCCTATATAACCGCTATAAACCCTCAGAAAGGCACCCCTAATTTTGTGGGAACCCTTTCGAATTCCGGAGCACCTCTATGCCTTCAACCCAGGTCTTTGATGACTGGCACAGAGAAGGATCCTCAACTGAGCCCTGACATGAAACACACCTTTCGGGGGTTTCCCAAAATGGGGTATGTAACCCCCAATAATGGTGAATCAAATGGAAAATAAGATGGACCATGAAATGGAAACTGTGGATATAGGGGTTATATGGGGATAATGGACAAGAAGCTATAGTTTAGGGTTTCCCAAAATGAGGGGGTATCGTTCTGGGATCCCCATAATAAGGACAATAGTCTTTTAGTTTCTATGTTGGGGTCCCCCTATTTATGGAAACTACCAATTTTCTTCGGCTGGCCAGCAGCTCGGGCGCTGGCTCTTAGCATTGCTTGTTTCACTCGCGGGTCGCCATTGTTTGTTGGCGCTTCGCAAGCAGAGTTTAGAATGGCTGCAGGGAGTGCAGGACTATGCATACCTTGCAGACTGTACCTGACGGCTGATGCTTTTCCATGAAAGGGGGTAGCACATAAAAATGTCCTGAAAGCTCCTGCCGTTAGGATGTCAGGCCTGCACCCAGAGCGGGGCTCTCTAGTTATGTACTAATTAGATTAAGATCGGCTTGGTGAGAGCAGATTTTGCGTACAGCCCCAAGCTGGCTTCTCTGGGCTCCTGCGGCCACAGTGCAGCCATCGCACAGCTTGTGTACAGTTCATTTGTGCGAGCCTGAATGTTGGCACAAGCCCTCGTGATGAGAGATTAAGTGCCTCGTTGAACATGCGGCAATCTCGGCCGATGAGCGCCGTTTGCGATTTGCCATCGATAGAAAATGCTAATCTTGGGCTGCAGCAGCTGCCGTGCGGAAGCCTTTTAAGGGTTTGTTGGTGGTAAGAATCTGCTCTCCAGGCTGACGTGCCGACAGACTTGGAGCACCATGTCTTTTGGCGCCGCGCAGAATGTTTCTGACATCATGCTGCCTGCTTGCTAAGGGGTGCAGCCCGCCCAAATTGAGAGTAGCCTAGTCGCGGCCAATGCGCTAGCACCAGGAAAATGGGATTGATTCTAGCCACAGCTTTGTACTGCCCACTCCTTGGTGTAGGGTATGTGCTCCAGCAGCGCTGCCGGAGCCTCCTGAGAACTCAGAGGCTCCATGCAAAGAAGGTGACTCAAGGCTGCCCATACGTTGCAGTTTTCCAAGGTAAGCTATAACGCACATGCGGCTTGTGGAGTAGCTGCATGATGCCAGAGGGACAGCTGAGCTGCAACGAGGCACAGGTTGTAGGCTGTGGGTACGAGAAGCGTCTATGAAGCGCAGGATGTGGAGAAAATTAGATCTCGCCCAGGTCGCAGGTCGCCCAAGCCTGATAGATTATTTTTAGTCATGACCAAGGCAAAGTTACACAGCAGTTCGAAACATGCTACTAGAAAGGCTGGTCGTAAAAGAAGCAACGTATAGTCAGAGCACAGTGCGCAGAAACAGAAAGTTTATGGGAGGTTTTCCAAATGATCCATCTTAAGTAAAAAGCCTGCGACAGTACCCTGCACTCTCTTCATAATCATTGTGCACCCTATATAATGGGGGTACCTTCTTATGATAATTGTTTCAGCTCCATTCTGTGCTCGAGGCTTCTTGGCCCACCTGCGCTGTTTGCGCAAAGCACCGGTGGTTACTGTTAATGACTACTCACTGAGGATTCTACATCCTAGAATCTCCGGCGAGGGCTTCCGTAGCATGAACAACAAATACACTGCAGAACTTGAGAATGGATTTTACTGGAAGCAGGATATTGGCGGTCCTAGGTGGTACAAGATTTGTTCTGCCCGTAGTATGCCTGACTTTTCAAATGACAAACCCTTTCTCAGGAACCCAGATGAACCAGAACACGAGACACTGCTGTAGTGCGGTACGAAGCAGCAACCTGTGCTGCGGTTTTACGTCCCTCGCGCTGATGTTCAAACGCTGAAGAGGTGCTTCTTGCGGGCTTTGAAGGTATTACACCGGAATGATACGGGCGCACACAGACCACCGTGTGTAAGGGGATGAAATTGGTTTCGGCTTTCTCAAAAACTTGGGTTCTGGAGCATTTGGGGGTTCGCAATGAGGGGATCCCAAATTTGCCGCATTAAAGGAACCGACTTCAATAGTGCATCTTCCCATAGACTGGTTTGAAATGGTATCAGTGAGAACGTTACATAATGATATTTGGTAGTGTCCCTAAATAGGGGTACCCCAACATAGACCCCGAAAATGACTATGATCCTTATAGGGGTTGCTAAGGGGGATACTAGCATGACGGATCATGAGGGTCTCATAGGGTGGCGAGGCGAGGTGCAGTGCAGGGATTTTGGTCAGTACAGCTTGGCTGTTTGTGGCTTGCAACGGATTCCGACAGCTAGTTTACAAACATGAGCTGGGCCCTCTAGAGGATGGCCAACAAAGGCATCCTCTCTTGGGCAGAGTCGTTCACACGAATCGTTGCGGTTCCTGCGCACCGGGGAGTACTTTGCCTGAGCCTGTGAATGTTCCAGGGGCTTCATTCAGCATGCTCTGTGCTCTGAACTTCACGAGAGCAGCCAACAAGGCAGCGCAGTGATTTGAGCAGAGAAGCTGGGCAGAAGCGTTTGTAAAGGTCGCGCTGGCGCAGTACAACGAACAAGAACATCAGCAAGAGCAGCACAGAACGCATTCAACCCACAGCAGGCATGGAACATCCCTACACAGCAATAGCTGACCGCCGTCACAACAACCAAGGCGATAATGACCCCAATGGCATTCTCACCAACTGAACTCGTCATCACCATAAGCCACGAAGCCTGGCCATGCTAAATGCAGCCTGGGGAGAAGGCCTTTGTTTGCATGTGGTTCCGGCCATGTTTGCAGGGGAACTATCCAATGAGAAGTATGCCGAGGAATCCCAAGACGCAGCCCATTTGGAGAGGCAGCTGCGAAAGGCTGCCAGACAGCGAGAAGCTATCACCAAGCAGCTCTTGCAGGGCAGCGTCATGCGTCAGGCATCTGCCGAAGGCCGCGTCGAAGATGTTCGGCTGTTGCTTCAAGAGGCCAGGCGCTGATGTCTTGTTGCAGTTGTTACGGGATTTTTTAGCATAGATTCTGGATGATTCTGGCAGAGGTCGCAGTCAATGCAAAGAACGAGTCGGGAAGTACCCCGCTGCACGAGGCAGTTGGAAGCATTGCAACTACTGTTGCTCAAGAGCGCTTTGGGCAGGCTGCCTTTGCTGGGCACGTCGAGGTTTGCAAGGTCCTGCTTGCCCATGGTGCGGAGGCTGTTGCTTTGCACGTAACAGAGGTGAAGCATGAGCTGGATCTCTTCTTCCTTGCAAACATTCAAGCTCACGTCATCAAGCAACCTGCGATTGGTAGCTGGCAGTGATGTGAAAGCTGCGGGGTATGACACCGTGTACGACCTGAAGCAGTCTTGATGATAGAGTCTTGTTTTGAGAGCTGACATGTTTCAGCACTTTCCACCTTCCTCCGTACTGTGCATGGCTGCCATGCCTTGCACGGGCTTTGGTCAGCCAGCTCCCTAATTATACGAAAGATATGCGGGTTTCTTTCAGAAACTTTCAGACCGTGGCTGCATCTCTTTCAAGGCCATGATTCAAATCAGGCAATCCCCACTGCGGGGGCCTCGGCCTGTAATGCAGTTTGGGTAACCGCCGCGCAGCATGCCGACTAAACATGGAGGGTCTGCTCTCAGCTGGCTCATGCACAGAGGTCAACTTCATGGTTGCCTCCAGCAGCTTGGCCAACATTGACATGTTGTCAGCACGATGCACCAGCCATGTTCTGCCATGACACTCATGATGCCCCTTCAGAGGCCGCTGTGCTGGTCCTGACAGCCTGCTCTTGGCCCTTCCTCTTCGTCAATTTTTCTGGAAAGGCAGGCTTGTGCTGTCTTGTGCTACCATCTGAGACTTGCCTTTTCCGTACGTGCTTGGAAGCGACACAGAGCAAGCAGGTATCAACAACCAAGTCGCTTGCTGAGATTGAGATGTCTCAATGACGCCTTGTGGAGACAGCACCAGTTGGGATGGTCATCCTTCTTAGGCCAACCACTTGTCTACACGCGCTTGGCGGTAGCAATCCAAGAGCCATTTTGGCCATGACCTCAGTGGCTTACAAATGCCTCTTGTTCGCCTCATGTTGCTTGCTCTGCTCCTTTGTGGAGGGGCTGGTTGGTCACTGGGGCTTCCTGGACTCTCAGATTGAAGGACCTCGTGGCTTTTGGATGTCTTGGTGGGGCATCTTGACAATCGCCGTATTTGGTGTTTTACCAGCACGATGCCCACTAGTTTGTTCAC